CCAAGGAGGTCAGAAGAGGGTACCTTCAGATTCCCCTGGAACTGGAGTTACAGATGGTTCGTAGCTGCCATGCGGGTGCTGGGAATTGAACCCAGGTCCTCTGCAAGAGCAGCCAGTACTCTTAACCACTGAGCCATCTCTCCAGTCCCAATTTGAAATTTTTTGAGTGCTGATGTGATACTCAATTTTTTTGCATTTTGGAGCATTACAGCCTTCAGATTAGGTATGTTTAACCATTAAAGAATTTGGAAATATGGCCGGGCATGGTGGTATACGCCTTTAATCCCAACACTCAGGAGGCAGAGGCAGGCAGATCTCTGTGAGTTCAAGGCCAGCCTGGTCTGCATAGTGAGTTCCAGGACAGCTGGGGCTACAGGGAGACCCTGTCTCAAAAAGACCAAAAATAAATAAATAAAAATAAAAAGAATATGGAAATATTCAAAACAAAACAAAAATATATCCTGAATCAAACTATTCTGTTCCCAAGTATTTCAGATAAGAGATAGTCAACCTCTATTTGCTGTTCTTACTGTGGGATGTTCTCTGAGGTCATTTATCCATGAATTTAAATTTAAAAAAATTTTTTATTTAATATTTTTTGGTTTTTTGAAACAAGGTCTCCCTGTGTAGACCTGGCTGACAGAATTCTTTTTTTTTTGGTCTTTTTGAGACAGGGTCTCTCTAGTGCCCCAGTCAGAACTCCCTATTGCTGCGAACAAGCTTCGCCTGCCTCTCCCTCCCAAGTGCGCCACCATACCTGGCGAATTAAGTACTATTTTTAAAAAAATCTTTTTTTTTACATTTACTTATTTATTTAGGAGGAGCATGTTGATAACACAGCATGAGTGTAGAAATTAAAGAACAGCTGGGAGTAGGTTCTGTCCTTCCACCATTGGGTCTCCAGGATTAAACTCAAGACATCAGGTTTGGCAGTATTCACCTTTACCAACTGAGTCATCTCTCTGGCCCCCGTTAATCTTGAGTGTCAAGTGCTGTCCTAGTATGAGAGGTACAGACATCACTCAGTATGAGAGATACCAAGAGGCAAGCAGACAGCTACACTACGTTGTAATAACACAAATGGAGTAACCACAGGGTATCGCAACAGCTTGCGAAGGGAATCCAGTGCAGTCTCTCTGGATCAAGGAGACGTCCAGAAAGAAGCAACAATGAAACCGAACCATAAAGGACGATGTTGAATGAGCTAGGCAGGGTGGCCCACATCTGTCCCATCAGCATTTAGAAGTTTGAGGCAGGAGGCTTATAAGTTCAAGACCAGCCTGAGCTACGTAGTAAGATCCTGTCTCAAAATCAACAAAGAGCTGGAGAGATGGTTCAGTGGTTGAGCACATGCTGCTCTTGCAGAGGACTGGGGCTGGGTTCCCAGCACTCACATGGAAGCTCACAACCTCCTGTAAAGGTAATTCCAGGGATCTGATGCCTTCTTCTGGCCTCCTCAGGCACTGCACATATGTGGTATACTTACATGCAGGCAAAATACTCATTCACATAAAACAAAAAAATAATACTTTAAAAAAATAACAATAACAAAGAATCCAGAAGGGAACTGTGGACAGAGGGAATGGCCTATGCAAAGTCTCAGAAGAACCCGGCAAGTAGACAGCCATTCTGCATGCATAAGTAGAATGCAGATGGAAAGTGGTAGGAAGTGAGCTGGAGCAGGTCCTAGCCACTACAGAAGTCTAAATGTGCCCTGAGGCTAAAAGAGAGTTACAGAAACAGAATGGATGGCTTGATGAGCTCTGCATGTTGGAAAGACTATGAGTCACCTGTGGACAGCAAATTGAAGAAGAAAGAAGACCAGGAGGATCAATGTCATTCCAGCTGTGCCCATGGCCCAGCTGCAAGGGTTCATGAACCATCTGCTTCTGGTTCTTGAGTTAAGACTTTTAATACCTTTGCAGAGAGATGGCTCCATGGTTAAGAGCACTGGCTGCTCTTGCAGAGGACCTGGGTTTGATTCCCAGCACCCACATGGTGGCTAATAACTGTCCGTAACTCCAGTTCTAGGGGACCTGACACTTTCTTCTGACCTCTATGAGCACTGCACAACACAGGCACACTTACACACATGCAGACAATACGCTTACACATTAAAAAAATAATAATAATAAATTTAAATATAAAATAATAATAATATTTTTAAAAAGACTTTGATACCAGAAAGTAAAACACCTGTGTCACTGAGCACACTGTCAGCTCAGCTGGTGTTTCCATAGCGAGACATTCCAGGTGATTTCCACCCTGGCCCAAACTTCTCATCTTGCTGTAGGTCAGCACTTTGAGCAGCACAGAATCAGATGGCTGGGGCAATCCAGGTGAAAGATCTATCTTAGCCTAAGGTAGTGAATGATGTGGGGTGGGCAGATGAACAGGAGCTGACAGACTTAAGGCTTTACAAAGTTAAAGGGACAGAGTTTGCTGATTAGACTGGAGAGGAGGAAGGAGAAAGCTCAGCCGCTGTTTCAGCACTGCATGAACTCGCTGGGATTCTGTGACTCAGAGATGCTAATTTTCCCAAAGCTTTGAAGCACTATAAAATGTGAACAATAAGACCATCTTCATCCTCTCCTCTTATAGCTCTTGGAGGAAAGGGCTGACGATTACCACATTCCACAGACCCAGAAGCAGGCTCGGTGGTGAAGAGGCTGCCTGTCTAAACTAGCTAGAGGTGAAGCCAGGCTGGCCATCCACCCAATACTCCCACTCTCGAATCAGCTAGTCAGAGGGGAGGAAGAGATCAGACCTTTGTGATCAGCAGGATAAAATCCTCCCTCCTAGAAAGAGCTCACCCTAGAGAAGCCGGGCCATTCTGGGGAAAGAAATGGGATCCTTGGTGCTGCCCACCACTAGCCTTCCAGTGACCCCCCGCCCGCACGGCCTTCCATACCAACGACCATGATGTTGAAGTCAAAACCAGTTTTCATGGTCTTCTTGCGCATCTGCTCGATGATGGTGTCAATGCCGATGTAGCCCAGCAGGTTGGAGTTGATACTGACTGGCTTCATGGGCACTGCCGGCTTAGGCCTGGGCTCAGGCACCAGCTCTGACATGGCTGCGTCTGTCCTGGTCTCTGGGAACCCTGGAAAGCCAAGGTTGGAGGGATAGGTAGGGTGAATGGGAGAACAGAGGTCACATGGAAGGCATGATATTTCCATCTTGATACAGAATCATATAGAGTTGGGACTGGAAGAGACCTAATGTCATCAGTCTGGGTCCCCCACTGTGTAGATAAAGACTGAAGCCTTGAGGGGAAAGGACCTGCCCAGGAACAGAGGGCAGGTCAGATGCAAATCTATACCAATACCAGGTTCTCCAGTTGCTAGGCACTTTCAAAACACATCATTGCTTCAAGGCACATCTGTGTATGTCATTCAGGGGTTCCTTCACCTTGGCAGGACTAAGGCCTGGAAAATTTACTGCCGGGGGCTATCTTGTATCTGTAGGATGTTTAACAGCATCCAGGGTCTCGATTAGTTGCCAGAAAGAATATCTCAGATGTGACCACCAAGAGCGGCTCTACCGTACCAAATATTCCCTGGGGGGCAACTTCACCCCAGAAGAGAACCACTGGTCTAAGAATAGTCTGAGGGCATCCAGCCCTGCCTCTTGTCTTGCCAAATAAGGGACAGAGAACCTTTAGGATCCTAGACCTAACATACTGATTGTCACTGACCTTAGCTACTTTGTCTTTTAGAAACAAACCGGGAGCCGGGTGTGGTGGCGCATGCCTTTAATCCCAGCACTCGGGGAGGCAGGGGCAGGTGGATCTTCGTGAGTTCAAGGCCAACCTGGTCTATATAATGAGTTCCAGGCCAGCTGGGGCTACAGGGAGACCCTGTCTCAAAAAAATAAAATAAAAGGCTGTCTATCCTTGCAAAGTATTACCTCAACTTTAGTTGCAGTGTCCCCTCTGTGCCATGAGTTGCTAAGTTGGAGTGCATGCAGTGGAGGGGCCCCAGACACCCTCCCAGACATAGTTTTGAGTCTGTGGAAGCAGTGAGAAAGGAATGAGACCCAAGAGAGGACTGTTATTTGCCTGAGATGGCACGGTGCTCTTAGAATAGTGGGCAGAAAGAAAGGAAGGCTCTTTCCAGAGAAGAGAGGTAAAAGTCCCTTTGTTTCTGTCAGACCGCTGGTGTGTTCATACACAGGACAAATGTGGCAGGCCACTGTCCAGCAGGGGAGGTTCTAGAAGAGAGCAACTCCATTTCCCTACCTGTACAATAAGGGTGGGGATGAGGTAAGAGAGGAACCTGGCTCTGTGCTTGTCAACTTGTGGACTTGGGCAAAAAGGCCACTTCCCCTCTATGAGCCTGCTTCCTCCTCTGTAGAACGCCAGGGTCATGACTAAGGCTACGGTGAGCATCACATGAGAGATGATGCTTACAAGTACTGAGCACAGTACCTCACAGACCCACACCCTCTCATCCCTGTCCCTTTCAAGTTCACCAGTTTGTCTGCAGGAAAAATGAAGCACTACATGGAAAGGACTTGGGAAAGGGAGCCCCCTCCCCCAATGGCTGATTCCACAAGCATGTTCTTTAACTCCATGCTCTCTTGAGAAGCTCTGTCATTTTCGAATCCTACAGTTTATTATTACCACCCTACAGAGTCTCAGCCTTATGGGAAAGATGGATGGAGCGGCAGATGGGCAGGAGGGAAAGGGAAGAGGAAGGCCTCATTCCCCACACTCAGCCCTAGCCAGGAGTCTGCTCCTGCTCCCCCACCACCTGGTCCTTCCCTGGTACTGGCAAACCCCTCTCTCCCAATGGTAAACTATGCCATCCCATCACTCTCAGGCATAGTCTGACAAAGTTTCAGCACCTCCCTAGAGCCTGATGTGGCTCTTTCTTGCTTCCCAGGAAGCTGTTGCCAGCCAGGTGGCCCCAGAGGGCAGCAAGACTGGCTCAGCCCGGTGGCCACTGACTCTCAACAGCCTGGTCTTGCTCCTCTACTCGAACATGTGGCTCACGGTCCCCTTCAGCACTTGTGTCCTGGGAGCCAATGCCCCATTTCTCCTGCCCGCTGTTCACACAGGGCGGCCCTTTTGGTTCCTGCATGCCTTGATAGCTTATGTCCCTACAACATGGGCTGTGAATTAGAGCCCCCTAGGAGGCAAGGAAGAGTCTACTCCCACTTTGCAGACCTGTACTTGTATATGTGGATGTTACAAGTATTCTTATAAAGCATGTGTCCTCACCATGCCCAGGCTCAGCCCTGCCTGTCACCTGCTGTTCATTAAGAAAGAATTCCTGGGGCTGGAGAGGCGGCTCAGATGGTTAAGAGCACTGGCTGCTCTTGCAGAGGACCTGGTTCAATTGCTAGCAATCACATGGCAGCTAACAACTACCTGCAATTCCAGTTCTAGGGGAATCCGGCAGCCCCTTTTGACCTCCATGGACATTGCACGACACAGGTACACTTACCTACATGCAGGAAATACACTCATACACATAAAATAAAAATAATAATAAAGAAAGCTCTCCTGGTGCTGGAGAGACGGCTCAGCAGTTAAGAGCACTGGCTGCTCTTACAGAGAACCCCGGTTTGAATCCCAGCACCCACATGGTAGCTAAGCAACCATCTGTAGCTCCAGTTCCAGGGGATCCAATGCCCTCTTCTGACCTCCTCGAACATTGCATGACATGGGTGTATTTACAAACATGCAGGCAATACACTCACACACATAACATAGAAAATAATAATAAATAAAATATTTTTTAAAAGAAAGCATTCCTAAGACACAGATCCTGATTGGGGGTGGGGGCTTAATCAATTCCTAGGGGCTATGGTAAGCCTGAGGCAGGTCCAGGGAATGGGTGATCTCTATTCTATTCTTCCATGGAGCAATGTTAACATCCATTGTGAGCAAGGTACCAAGCACCTGCTGGAAAGTGAGCCTCCTTCTGACAGGAGGCTATATGCCAACTACACACACCAATTACATGCCGGTCCCAGACTAACAACAGCCACTGATCAGTCACAAGTACCACAAACATGCTGTGGGTCATTCTGTCACAGGCTGTGCTGGAACACCCTGTACCCCCTCCAAACCCTAGCTAACTCCTCCTTTCTCAAAGCTTTCCCATCTGAAGTGGCTGCCCTTCCATGCGCCCCCCGCCGTGGGTTTACCAGTATTGAGCATATCCATGCACTTCTTCATTCCAAGCCACTCCATATGCTGTCAAATACAAGCCTAATTCGGCCAAGTGCTACACTAAATGCCAAGGACATACTTGTATCCCCACCAAGGTCATTGCCCCCAAGGGCCCACTGTCTGGTGAGGGTGTCTTACAAGTATACCAAGACCTCCAGGGCACAGAACAAATGCTGCTCTGAAGGTGGACTCCACAGATCATCCTCTGCTCCCACAGCTCCCCCCATCCACCAGGCCGACTTCAGATGGGCCCTGACACAAGCATGAATCCTTGGTGAGTGCTGTGAGTATAGGTTTTCTTTTCAGAAAACTGGGGACAGTATCTATCTGCCTTTCTGGGATACTGTGAAAATCATACAAAATCATGAATGTAAATGACCTGTCACTGAAAATCTGCTGGTGTTCACCTCTCTTTAAGCTGGGACTCATGCCTTATGGATCCCCGTGCCCAGTGTGTACCTAGGATATCAGCAGTCAACAATAAATGAATAGATGGTTTGTTAATGAAAACCCTACAAGGCCGGTGTTCCTGCAGACACCTTTTTCTGTCCTCAGATGTTGCTTCCAATCTAGAGCACCTGGACCCCACCTCACCACCAGCAGCAAATAACTGTTTGTGAACCACAGTCAAGGTAGGTTAACCTATCAAGAAAGACCGCCCCTGAAACAGAGAATTTGGGCGGGGGGACCTTCCCAAGAGTAGGGAAGAGCCCACATCAGGGGTCACAGCAGAATGCAGCTAGATGGTCCTTAGGGCCCCTCCTAAGCTCCCAGCTCTCCCAGAGAGGAGAGCATCTGTCTGCAGCACCCCCTGCCAGGAACCACCTGCCCCTGTCAGTGTTCCAGGAAGAGAGATTGTCCACCTGACTCAGCTCTGGCCCCACAGGAACAGCACCCTCCATCCCCAAAGCAAGCAAGGGTGCCCGTGCTATCTCCTACGGGAAAATGAATGGCTTTCTCTTTGTCTGGTCCAGAGACCCCACCCCTCTGTTTGAAAAGTGGCTTTAGAAGGAGGAGACCTTTCCAGATTAGCACCTGCCTCCCTGGCTTAATGGTCGACTCCCTCTTCCTTCTGTCTCAAGCTAAGGCATCTTCCCCAGCCCATCCCCACTCTCAGTACCCAGCAGGTTTTAAGACCGCACCCCCACCCGGAGAGGCAATTCCAATCCATCCCAGCTCCAGCCCTGGGCTGCTCAGCAAAGGAAATACAACAAACATTTTAGTCCTTCCCCATTTGCAGAAGGCTGAGTTCCCTTGGAGACCACCAGCTGGTGCCTGCCTAAGCGTGCGTGCGTCTGTCTGTGTGGGGGAAGGGGGCTGACTGATGTGTCAGCGCCCAGGTTTCTTACGGGTTGTAGGTCGCCTGGTACCTGTGCATGGAGTGCCTGCTGTGCATGTGTGTGCGTGCCTTGGTGTGCTCCAGCGTGGGGCTTTCTTTAAGCATCTGGGTCTCCGTACCTCCCCAGGTGGCGCCTGTGTGTGCCACCGGGTGTGTGTGTGTGTCCGTGCATATGCCACCGAACGTGGGGTCCTGTACACAGCCAGCCCTCCCCCGGTAACACCTCGGACCCGCGCGGGGCGTCCCGGCGACAGCCCTACCTTTGGACATGAATCCTCCTTTGTCTCCGTTCCTCCGGGAGATGCTCTGGGCGCGGGGCTGCGAGGCTGAGCGGGGCGCGGGCTCCCCCTGGGCCGAGGGGCCCCTGCAGCCGAG